AGTTCGATCCCCGGTACCAAAAAATAAAAAATTAAAATTAAAAAATAAAAATAAGACAAAAGAGCTAGAGGTGTAGTCAGTGCTTGGCATGCAAGAGGCCCTCTGTTCGATCCCCAGAATCACAATAAATAAACAAATAAGAGGATCAACATCAGTGTATCACATGTGTCCTGCCTGCTGGCAGCAGGTTGAATGTGAGCGCTTTTACTTTGTCCCTGCTTCCCTTTCAGGTGCTGCTGGCTGACGAGGGCATAGCCCCACTATCTGCTGCTGGACCGGTGAAGGAGAAGAGATCTCTGCTTGGAACAGGGCTGTTACCTTTGCTTCCGGTTCAGTCTATCAAGGAGGAAGAAACCCAGCCTGGGGAGGACAAGCTCCCCTTAGGGAGACCCTTCAAAGTGGAGAGCCCTCCTTTGGAGGAGTGGCCCTCTCCGTGCCCATCTTTCAAAGAAGAGTCATCTCACTCCTGGGAGGATTCATCCTGCTCTCCCACCCCGAGGCCCAAGAAGTCCTACAGTGAGCTCAAGTCCCCGGCACGGTGTGTCTCAGAAATGCTTGTGATTAAACGGAGAGAGAGAAGGGAGATAAGCCGGTCTCGAAGGAAACAGCACCTGTTGCCTCCCTGTGTGGATGAGCCCGAGCTTGTCTTCTCGGAGGGCCCCAGCACTTCTGGACAAGCTGTGGAGCACCCTGTCTGCCTCCTGGCAGAGTCTGCAGAGCCAGCCCCTTCGCTCAACTGTCCCCAGGAGGAGGGAGGACCTTTCAAGACACCCATTAAGGAGATGCTGCCCATCTCCTCCACCCCAAGTAAATCTCTCGTCCCCAAAACCCCTGAATCCTGGAGGCTCACACCTGCCAAAGTGAGGGGGCTGGATTTCAGCCCGGTACAAACACCACAGGGCACCTTTGGCACCTTGCCTGACTCCCTAGGGCTAATGGATGTGAGCACCATGCCACTGCAAAGCATTCCCCTCTTTGACTCACCCCGAGAGCTCCTCAATTCAGAACCCTTTGACCTTGCCGCTGATCCCTTTAGCAGCTCTTGCCCCTCAGATCTGGAAGTCCCCAAGCTGGGATCCCCAGAGCCACAGGTCCCCAGCCTTTCAGCAAACCGTTCTCTGACAGAAGGCCTGGTTCTAGACACAATGAATGACAGCCTGAGCAAGATCCTGTTGGACATCAGCTTCCCTGGCCTGGAGGAGGACCCCCTGGGCCCTGACATCAACTGGTCTCAGTTCATTCCTGAGTAGAGGCTGGGCCTTGACCCTACACTCAAGCTCTCCACCATCCCAGGCAGTCGTGTGGCTGGGCAGCCCCAGGCTTGGTGCATGCCACACCCTCTGAGGACTGCAGGCCAGAACTCCACCACCTGGTGATGCAAAGGCAGCAGTCA